CGGATACAAGCGGCCGGAATGAGCTTCCTCCAGATGGTGGCTGGGCTCAGCCTTAGAGATAGGGTAAGGAGTTCGGACAATGGGGGGGAGCTCAGAGTAGAGCCGCTACTCCTCCGCGTCGAAAGGAGCCAGTTGAGGTGGTTTTGGGCATCTGTTAAGGATGCCTCCTGGACGCCTCCTTTTTGAGGTTTTCCTGGCACTCAACTGGGAGGAGACCCCAGGGCAGAACCAGAGTTTGCTAGAGGGATTATATATTCAGTCTAACCTAGGAACGCCTTGTAATCCCCCAGGAGGAGCTGGAAAACGTTGTTGGGTTGAGGGAAGTCTGGGTTGACTTACTGCGCCTGCTACCACCGCGCCAGACCTCGGATAAGCAGAAGAAAAGGGATGGATGGATGTTCTTGTACTTATTTGTATATCTTATTGTATTACATGTTTCTATATTTCTTACTGCTGTACTGTGTTTAAAAAGCAGTTGCAATGACCAATTTACACTTGAGGGATTTATACAGTATTTCTGATTCTGTGTTGCTCAACATAAAATAACGGTGGGCTCTAAACATTTATTTGCTTATTTCTGCTGCTGGAATCCTTGGCTATATTCTCTTCTGCGTGCGTTATGGCAACTGGCTGTATTGATAGCTTATCTGGGGGCTCAGTTTGTCTGTGACACTCAGCTACAGTATGTGTGTGTGTGTGTGTGTGTTTTCCTTGTATTAAGTGGTTATGATAAAGAACAAAAGCTCACTGTCAGCCCTGGTCAAAATAAAAAAAGTAATAACTTAGAGAAATCAGCAAATACAAAATGATATTAAACTGAGCAGGGAGAGTGCTGCTGTGTGTGTGTGTGTGTGTGTGTGTGCACACAAATCTCATTGATCGTGTACTATCCTAAATGAAGAGTCATGGGGGAAAAATGTCTTGATATTCATTTTTGATATATCACAACACCATTTATCAGGTTCCTCAACCTATAGTTCTGCCTACCCTGTCCTCTTCCTCACATATTCTCTTATCTCCTCTCTCCACTCTTAAAAGACATAAAAGACGAGAATGTTAATCACATTGCTGAAATATCTTTAATTCATAAATTGTATTTTTCAGTCTTTTACAAAAAAAACATTGTTTTTTTTTGTCTTTTTAGGTGCCTAAATGTTCTTGGTCCACTGTATTTGTTGTCTTCTCTACAGCTGTCTACCCCATTCCTCATTTGTGCTGGGGATCTGCTCTGCCCCTGGGCCGTCCACCTCAAGGCCCTTGTTCTGCCTTTGCTGTATGTCGGCACCAGGATTATTTGCGTTTTTTGGTTTTTGTTTTCTTTACATAATGTTGCAATAGCAAGAAAACATTAATACATGTGGGTATTGGTGGGCGGTGAGAGCTATCATGCAGGTGTTGGCCTTGGGATGCTGTATCCAACAGTTGATCCTGTCTGAAATGTCTGCCCCAGTGAAGTTTTGGTTCTCGCTGCCAATATAGGTTCACGGTTGAGTTGTAAGAGGCTCGATCTGTTGAAGGTGGCATTGCTGTTTGTTTGTGGTGGCCACTAAGGTTCATGTAAGTTATTGGCGGGGCAAGAGCATGGGGAAGAGGTTGCCAAGTGAGGGGAGGGCGCACTTCCTCACTGAGGGCTTATCCTCATTAGCTAGAGGAATCTGAAGTTTACTTTAAACTATGATGAAGTATTTTGTTAATTGAGTAAAAAAGTATATCTGTATATCTAAAAAAGCAGTCTGATCTGCTAAAGAAATAGAGCACCTACATTGGCAGGTTTGCTCATGTTGATGGAACATTTTGTAGTATCTTCAAATGCTTAAAGGTCACATATTATGCAAAATACACTTCACTATGTTTTTCTAACAGCAATATGTTTCCTTAGTCTGTCTATAACCCCCCCCCCCAATAATAAGAAAAGTCCATTCTATTCATCTTTTGTCTGCTCCACTTTTCAGAAAATGTGTGCACAGGCTGTTTGGAGATTTTCCCTTTATGACATCACAAAAGGCAGTAGCCCCTCCTCCAGGTGGATGACACTCCCACAGTTAGGTGTTAGCTCTGTCTTCTGAGTCTGCCTTCTCACTGTAAACAATAGGACATGGTGCAAGAAACCCAAAGCCACATCCCCTTCTAGAGGGGCGTGGTCAAACAGTTCAATTGTATTTAAAGCTACAGACACATACAGCAAGTCTGAAAAAAGAGGGTTTTTTGCAGGTTTTATTAAATAAAATGGAAAAAAAGGTCAGGAATGTGTCAGTGTATTATGAATATCTCTTGGCAATAAATGAATGCGTGCGTGTATTCAGTTTTTAGAAGCAGCTATTATAAAAGAGGAAATGTTCTGGAAGTGTGACACTTTATTGGCCGTAAATAACACTGGCATAAAGGAAAGTGATATTGTAATGCTTGTAATTGGACAGCAGTAATCACTCTTAGCTCCTTCAGCTAATGGCAAGTATCGCTGAGGTGATCCGCTGAGTGCTTTTAGACGCTCATTTGTGCCGTCTGCCACCCGGTACTTAAACAGCTCTCCTATTAGTCATCCTGTGATGCTATACTGACTCTGATGTGGCGGGATTATGGCCATCACTGCAGACCACTGATGTGGGGGTTGATGATGATGATGGTTATTGTTTTTATTATGTTCATTCATCCCCAGTAATATTCAACAATCATTACTTTTTTTACATTTACTCACTGGAGAAATTTAGATCGACAGTTATTTCATAATACTTAGATTATCTTGTAGTATTATCTTGTTTTGTTCACTCTGGTCTGTTTCTCAACTGTAATCCATAATGCATTGATTGTATTATACTCACTCGTGATTTCTAATTTGAATTTCTAACTAGTTACTGTAAGAGATATTTCCCAAGAACAAACACAGAAACACATGCATAATGAATATCCCTCCTCAACAGTGGGTTGAGTTGGAGTTAGCAGAATTGAGAAAAAACCCACACACCAGTACAGGATATCTCTTCATTTGTTCTAAGAAAAAAAACACACCATATTTCAGACTGTTGGCACACTCTGAATTGTGATTGAATTGCTGTCACTGAAAAAACACATCTGATGTTTTCTGAATCAACACGATAACGATCTTGTTAACTCAGAAAAACAGGACTGGGGGCACCGGTTGCCTAGTGTTTAGTGCACGCACCCCTTGTATGGAGGCTATAGTCCTCCAAGCATTGCCTATATGTGAGTGTGCCCTTACACAACCATATAGTACTGTTTTCTCTATCCATCTATTTTTTTTCTGCATCTCGCTCTAACACAGTCCCAGGTGATGGCTGTTAACACAAGTCTGGTTCTGGTCGAAGCTTTTGCCTTTTAAACGGCAGTTTTTCTTTGACACTGTTACTCTGCTAAGTGTTTAAATCTTGTTTTAAGTGCTGTGCTCATGGAGGATTGTTGGTTGTTTATGAATAATATATTGAAGAGTACTGTCTAGACTTGTTGCTATTTTGTCTTGAGAAAAAAATTGTGAATTGGCGTTTAAATTTTTTTTATTAGTTATCCATGATGGAAACTGGTAATTACCAGGAGTTGCAGTTCCCTGGCATTATGCAACAGGATCATTATCCTTACCCTACAACCTTTTCAGTGAATCCCCAGCCACCTGCAACAGTGTCTGCAGCTAAGGATGAAAAAATAAAAACCATGATGATATTATGCTAATTTAGTAGTATTGCTGGATTGACATTTCTACTGATTGGGATTAGTGCTCCTATCAATTCTCCCACCCACTCAGCAACGGCTTAAGGTCTCTCTGTTACCAGAACATGCTTTTAACATTGCTGGTGTCAAAGCTAATTTATGGTGTTACTCAAGAGGGCTTGTTTTGATGCAATTAGTGTATTTTCTTTGTGTAATGAGAGCATGCCCCCAGAAGTCATTGCCTTGTGCAGACATTTGCAGAGAGCAGAAATCCCAAATTTGGGCACAGACTGCTGTTGTGGTTTTTACTTATGATTTTACTATTTTCTACAAATAAAGGTCTACAAGTCATCATAAAAACGAAGGGTATCAAACAACTGATCAAAAGCTGGTGTAGGACAACTTATGCCCTCCATACACTAAAAGACTGAAGAAACGTATTTTAAAATGCTAACATCTGACTCCCTATCATATCTAATGACGGCAGCTCACAGAGTTTCTAGACACAGATTAAGATTTTTCTTGATTTGGGATCTTGCAGGGTCACTGACTGCAAGACTATGTCTACATTCCTTTTGAGATATTTTTCCATAATGCATAAGATGTCTACATAAATACCATCAGACACAGTCATTAAGAAACATTTGCTTATTTTTTAACATAATTGATCGATTTACTCTCATGTCAATACGATGATATGTTTTTTCTTATAAATGTCATGGTGGAATGTCAACTAATGAGTGAAACAATTATGACTCACAACCAATGCTCAGGAAGTATGTGCTCACACTGAACGGTCTGATTGTCAATCATGACCTGAGAGCTCACACTGAGCGTGTTAAATCACTATGGACCACTGACAAGTTGTCATTAAAGCTTCCTTTCAAAACTCCCACAGAACGAAGTTTATGACATCAATGTATTTCATTGCCATGGTGATTTCAGATGCTGTCTGACAGTTTGCACAGCAGAATCAGGAGAAAAAAAGGCCTGAAGTCATGGAATTGGCTTGTGGCTCTGCTCTCACAAGACTATGCAGTGGTATGAGCAAAATTTCAACATTCCAGAAACCCTTTTGACCTATCGGTAGCAGCCGGCCCTCATACCCTCTGAATACTGCACGGTAAACAAGATGTGATCTAGCTGATCTTCAGCCCGTTTGCAAAATCAGTCATGTGACTCAAAAATCGTCTCAAAGACGGCATCGACTCGTTCAGTGTATTTCCAGCTCTAGGTAAACAAAGGTGAAACGAACCACCTTACTGTGATGCCGAGGAACTCAAAAACAAGAAATAATGACTAATGCATGTTTTTCTCTTTGTGGCTTTTCTTCTCCACAGGCACTCATAAATTTGTGACAGAAGGGGAATATCTGGAACTGAGAGGCATCACCAAAGAGCAGTCGGGATCGTATGAATGCATTGCTTCCAATGACATCTCAAACCCTGATGTCAGGACAGTTCAAATCACCGTCAATTGTAAGGGCCAAGTTATCACATCTATGGTTCAAACAAATGGGGGTCAGGAAATATCCTTACTTGGATATTTTCTTAATCGCACACTGATTGGGGGAACTCAAGGGTTTTTTGATTTTTCTGTGTTATTCATAATTATGTAACACTGTCAGAGATGCTTTTTATATTCAGATAAACTGAGACTATACAATCTCAACATAGCTACAAGTGATCATAAGAAGATGTAAAGTTTAGGATTGGTGAAGGGTCATTGGATGTAGTAACACATCGCTCACTCAGGCCACTCCTTGGTTATTTTTCTGCTAATAAACAATTACAAAGTATGAAGCGAAAGTCTTTTAATTATGCAATCTGTATAATGTCTTTGTAAGAACACATTTAACTTTGTTGTTTAGACCCTCCATTCATCTCTAAAGCGAGGGGCACGGGAACTTCAGTTGGACAGAGAGGAGTCCTGCAGTGTGAAGCCTCCGCTGTGCCCAGGGCAGATTTTGAGTGGTACAAAGAAGACCGCAGGCAAGTTTCTTATCTGAACTCTGTGATATCTACAGGCACTGAATTGTTTGAAGTCAGTGAAACATCATACACTCAAAGAGAGACAATTCTGTTCCAGGGTGTGGACAGTTCATGTGAAATAAGACGGACTACATTATCTGAAAAATGTATAGCTTCAAACAGAAGTCTTTGTTTTAATATTAAAGTTTGTGCATTTGTCTTTCAATCCATGGTTAAAAAATGTTTTAATCATAGTTTGTATTAAAAAAATGGCATAAAATCAGTTGCCAAAGGGGCAGAGGCAGCTTTTCTTATTTCCACACTGTAATTGGTTTATGTCAGTGGGATGTAGGGATTGGAGATTAAGAGGATAGCATGGTAAATGCAGTCTCTTCCAACTCAAGGCGAAAGAACGGAAATGCTTCTGAGCAGCCCGAGAGACGGTATGTTACACTATTAAATGGTCTCTGACAGAGACAAAACCGTTGCTCTTCAGTTCCCAAAAGACAAATTTTCTCCACAATAAATAAAAGATGGAAGACACTGCTGGATAAAAAATAATGACTCATTCAAATTTGAAATATGGCACTGACACAGAATCAGAAGGGAAGTGAAATGAGTGAAGGAACTAAAACATGAACAGTTACCAAAGTGAGGTGGGAAGCTGTTTTCAGTTTTTTACTATTATGTGAACAATGTCCACCTTTTATGCCAGCAGGAATAACACAATTACAATTTCACAAAGAAATAAAACTCCAAGTATTTGTGTTTAGCTGAATCTGTATACAGTATAAGAAGTGGACATATTGCTGATAGGCTGCATGGTGGTGCAGTGGTCAGCGCTGTTGCCTCACAGTGAGAAGGTTTCTGGTTTGAATCCTCGTTGGACAGGGCCTTACTGTGTTAGGTTTGCATGTTCTCCCTGTGCCTGAGTGTGGCTGGTTGTCTGTCTCTGCATATGTCAGCCCTGTGATTGACTGACGAACAGTGCAGGGTGTAACCCCGCCTCTCGCCCAATGACAGCTGGGCTTGGCTCCAGCCCCCCGCCTCCCTGAACGGGAAAAGCAGTATAAATAATGGCTGAATGGTCATAGCCTGATGCCACCCATTGGTTTGTGGGCTCCATTGTTGTTGAGTTTTGCATTGAACCCATGAGTAACTGTTAATGCTAAAAAAAAAGAATATACAAGGCAGTTTGATAATTCACAATATCAATTATGTATATTTGGATCGTAACTCAAACAAAAGGCTACAGAAAGTGTGCTTGCTTTGAAAGATGAGTTGACTACTTAGAGATATCAAGCGGCTGAAATATCAAGTAGCTAGATAATGCTGCACTGTCGTGATGTTACCACACACATTTTCAAAGATTCAATAAAAGGACAGCTAAGTTTATGTTGCTTATGATTATGAAACGTTGATTATAAACCTGCTCCCTTCTTTCTTACAGGCTCTTCAATGGTCTTAATGGTGTGAAGATAGAGAATCAAGGTAAACAGTCCATGCTCGTCTTTTTCAATGTCTCAGAAGAGGACTATGGAAACTACACTTGTGTTGCCATGAACACGATGGGAATCACCAATGCCAGCATAATCCTGTATGGTAAGGATGTAAATGCAGCACTCACATTCACATACTAGACATCTTTATGAATAAAAAGACACAACAAATCATTATATGAAGCCTTTTCATTGGTTCTGCTTTATATTTCTTCCATTTACCAGTCTCCATGGCGACTGCTGCACATATGTAAAGCATTTATTAAGCTGTGGAACAAAGCCATATGTACAATTATATGTATATTCAGGTTAATTACAGTTTTCATTTAAGCGAAGCACTTATGACACCCTTATCATTTCACAAAACATAACTACCAAAAGTCCATGGCAGTCAATCTGTGTCATTCATTATCTGCATATAAATACACAGTATATATATATATATATATATATTATATATATACACACGCCTCAAATAATCCCTATGACATCTTAAAATAAGGGATCAGATAAGCACAACAGTGTAAACAACAAGCTCAGAAAGGGTTATAATAAACATTGGGACACAAACTCTGTCTCTCTATGAATGTGAAAAACATATTGGTTAACACTCACACATATACCTTCCTTTACTGGCAACAGCAAGTGCCAACAAGGAGCGTTTTGAAATAGAGGATGTGGGGCGCTTCCCACTGGTACCAAAAAAGGCACAGGCACTAATGCTACAGTTTTCCTTGATCATTTTAAGTAGAATAACTCTTTTGTATTTTTGGACTATTTAAAAATAACCATGTTTTAAAATCCACAAATTTTTCAGGAAAATTCAGGGTATTTTTAGTTATGTTTAGAACATGTTTCATTTCAACAAAGGAATTACATTCCAATGTTTAATAAGTTAACATGACAGGCTTTGTAGTTCTACTATGCTAGCCTTATTGATGCCTTTTTATGTTATTTTCTTGCAGGTCCTGGCGCGATGCATGATGTGAACGGGGCCGCCGTGTTGCACCGTTGCTCTGTATGTCTCGCGCTGACTGTAACCTCATTCTACCTGCTGAAGTTCTGATATGACATGTAACAACAACCTTCAAGAGCCTCTCAGCGTTGAAAAACAACAACAGACTATTAGTCCCATAAGAAGAATGGAAACCCAAATGCGCCAGTGGTTCACCTTAAGGTTCCCTTTTTTTTTTCTTCATGGTTTTGCATCAGAGTCTGCTCTCTGTTGGTTCCCCAAGAGTGCTTGGTGTTAATTGGAGGATGGGGAAATTTGATTTATGCACTAATTGGATGATGGTAGGACTACTGAGTTTGCTTATCCCCATTTTTTTTTTGTATGTGGAAAGGGAAAAAAAGAAGAAAAAAAAACATGTAACTGTTGATAGTTGACTGTTTATTGCCCAATATTGAAGTGTACATTCAGATTATTATTGTGTCATGTCCTGTTCAATATCTGTACAATACCATTAAGCTTTTTTTAAGTAAATGACAAAAAAAGGGAAAAAATGCAATGTGATTGTTGAATTTTACTGTATTTTTACAGTTGTATGCAAAACCGAGTAACAGAGCCTTCATAATAAACAAATCAGAGTAGTAGATAGTACCCCATGATTTCTCAGGCAAAGTCCTACAGCATAGTGCATCCAAATTTTTATTTCCATGGTAGTGTGTGTAGAAATGAACAAATGTGTACAGAAAACCCTGCACTGTTTTTCTCAAATTGCATACTCTTATCAAACGGCATTTTTAAACACCGATTCACAGTGTCATAGCAGCTTCACGGCGTTCTAAATACTGAAAAAAAATGAATTAGATTTTCAGGAATCAATGTGATGTCAGTTGGGAAAAGATGTAGGTCAGTGTGCACTTTTGTAAAACGGCAAAATGAACTGATTGATTTAATATTCCTGTTAACATATATCTATACCTCTAGTACGTCATCTGATCTTTAAAATGGCGGTGAACGGAGTTTTCAAAAAATTATTTATTTGTTTGTCAGTTTTGATTTGATAAAGGATAAGTGTTAAGCATCAAATAGGGATCTGACCGATATGACTGCTAGCAGGGACATTGTAGCGGTTAGCCAGGAGGCTTTAGACCCACCTCAGCCCCATCTCTTGGCCTTTCATAAGGTTGACTGAATGTTAGGTTGACACAGCATTTTCATTTGGCTACCGCCATAAATGGACAGGTGGCTTCAGATTGAATGGGCAGTAACACTACAGATTCTATTAGTGAACAGCAGTTATCTTATCTAAGCAGCTTTATTTTCAGAAAGCTTTGCAACCTTCAGTGAAAAGAGTCAAACAATGGAAGAAAGTATAGGCATACCTTCTGTGTCCATCAATGACATGAATGCAACATTAAAAGGAGTATTATGTGTTGGGCAGCAGTGCTGTAAAGAGATGACTGAAGAGATGTCTTTGTTTGAGCTCAGCCATGTGTCACCTCCACTCAGATGAATTTGAATACCTGAAGAAGGTTGACATCTGTCTTTGATAAGACATGGGAGGTTGTTGATGCAAAATGATCCACTTCATTTAAAGAAGTTAATGCTTTAACACATTGGATCTATCAAAAAACCTAACCCCAAGCAGTGCAAAGTACAACACAAGTGTCTTGCTAATTTCCAAAGGACACAGTTGCCATTTTCAAGCCTATTGCCCAGGTTGTGTTACTAAATTCCCTTGCACCCTCATATTTATCCATTGCCTCATTGGTTGTAAAATGAATTGCCATTAAGTCTATGGCACATTAGTTTCCTTCTCTTGGCTTTGGATATCACAGAACCAGGAAGCGCTCTTTGCTACTTCCTCCCATGACTGCTGCACCCAGGAAGATTCTTGCTCTTGTTCTGCAGGGCTGGAACTAAAGCCTGAGTCTGACACCTATCTGCCCTTCATGCCATGTCTACCCTTTTGTACTTAAACTTATTGAAAACATTACACTGTATTTTTTAGGGCGCACTCACACTAGTTAAGTTGTCCTGTGCCGTGCTTAAGCACTATTGTCCTCCCTTCCCATTCCCCTGCTGGCTTGCATTCACACTGCTCCAGGACTACCCGGGCCTCAGCACGGTTACCTTTTGTACATAAGGTCGTAATACAACACATAAATGGCTTTACCTAATTATGAAGCGTGCTTATTTTACAAGACAGGTGGATGCGTGGCGGGTCCACTGACTTTGTGGCTAATTTTGAGTCATTTTAGTCAAATTCAGGCATAACACTACGGGATTTCTCCATAATGAAGGCTGTCCACGTTGTGTGCTGGTGCATGAACTGTATAGTGCCGAAGCACACTCTTTGAAGCGTGCCAGGGCCAAGCAAGTGTACTGTGCTTGAGCACAGAGCAGAGCACTCACACTGGTCAAACAAACTGGACTTTAGGGTGAAGTGTGCTTAGGTATGGTACGGATTTCCTAGTGTGAGTGCACCTTAGTAACCCAAGTAGTTCCAACCCCCCCCCCCGCAGTCTCATTCAGACACATAATAAACACTTCTGAGTCTGCGTTTTACCAAAAAGGCTTCCCACTAGTTCAAATGTTAACCAATATGTGGAACTATAACACAAGCAGTGTTCCTAAATATAGGACATGGTTAGATAATCTATGGTAATGAGCATAGTTTTTAACTTTCACTAAAATGTACTAAATTCTTTTAAGATTTTATTGCTGTAAAGCTTAACCAACCGATGTGTGGTAATGAAAACAACTTAAGCGTCTAGAAACAGACTCATTTAATACATTTACCTTACCATCCAGGTAATGTGCAAACATATTTTACAGTGAAGGACTGGTCTTAAGATATGTATCACCATTTTCTTATTTCAAATGGTGGATAAGCAGGATGAAGGTCCTTTATTCAAATCTCAATTAAAATACACCAATAGTCATGAAATTCTCATCTGCAGAGCAGGTACACAGTGCCAGTCCATGTCAAATCTACATGTAACAAAAGCTAGCATGAATGTTTCCGTGCAGCTGCTATGAGGCTTTTTTTCAGGTGTTATGAATGTGTGCTTTTAACCTGGGTTGACCCAAGATAACCAGCTGACGCTGCTCTGAAGACTGCAGAAGTGATGGTTGTACTCTGTGGTCATTGGATGCGTTTTCAAGGATCTTTTTTTTTTAGTCTGCCGCAGACAGAAATCTCCAGTGACAAGAATATAAAAGCACAAGTGATTGATTATGTGATGTTCTGCTGTTGTCAGTTCACTTCTGTGCATAACGATGAAGAAGTGTGATGAAGACAAAACAACAGGGATGAGATAGTTGAACGTGGGAATGCTTTTGATGTACTCACATGTAAAGTTTTGTGCTTGTAACGATGGTGGTGGACCAGCAGACTTTTTTGAGGTTTGTGAAAATAAAACACATGACAGGTGAGAATCAGATACCTGTTACACTCATGTGAGGGTGTACACCTTTCCATCCCAAATGAGCGGACATGACAAGTATTGATGTCAATAATCTTGAATAAATTTGTTTAGAACTCCTATTAACAGACACGAGATTTAACTTAAGGTTTATTTGTGCTTATGATCATGAACCACAGTGAAAGAAGACATTGATTTGGGTCTTTTATTATGTTTGTTTATGTTTTAAGGATTTTAGATTTATGCATTAAACTATCTAAAAATCCTCCTTAATGCATATTTCTCTGGGCATTTTAAAGTCTGCTGTTTTTACTTTTTTTTTCTCCAATACATGATTTTACAATGTTTGATCCCACTGATGGCTGCTTGTGTGACCTGTTTGATATGTCTTTTGACCTCACTGGAGGTTCAGCATACAGTGGACACTGATGTGGTATAAAGTCATGGTATCATTTGATTGAGAGATTGCAAAAATGTCCATAAACTGGTTAAATGTTAATTCAGGTTGCCAATCATTTCTTCCGACTTTGATGCTTTTGTCACATTTATTCATCTTGCACCAGTCCCTGTTAGCTGTAATAGTCTGTTTTTAATTATATATCCTGCTGTTTTTCTCTAGCTTCAAGTGAATTGTTATGGCTCTCTTAAAAGTAATGGTAAAAGAAGGAGCTTGGGAAACTTACCGCACCCAGAAGGCAAGTATCAACCAGTTATAAATATATTTCTAAAGTTGATTGAGACCAAAAACAGAGCTGCAAATAGTGTGGATTTAAATTTTCATGGTGACCAGTGTGTGATGTATTTTAATCACTCTGGATAAACTACACTGTTGGCGCCTTTGAATGGCTTATTTTACTTTACAAATTCCCAGACAGCACAGATGACAAGTCAAAAGTAATATCTACGTTGTATCATGAATCATTATAAATGTCGGAATTTTCGGATGAAGTTATTTATTTTCTTTCTTCTCCCAACAGCAAGTAAAGGGAATTAAGCTCAAGTCAGTAAAACAAATACAAAATAAAAACAAAATTTATTTTAAATAAAAAATGATCACATTTTAAATCAATAAAATGGGATCGTATATCAGTAAAGCACAGTGAATATAATATGAGAAATGCTCACTAGTGTTTTGTTCATTTCTGAACACTTTTGCCCTCCTACGTTTGCTCAGGGAACAAAGTCGGTAGGCAGTATATCTTAATACAAAATGAACCACCTTCAGAGTACTCAAAACTCAGTCCATCCTGAAGTTATCCCATTAACTTGCTTCATAGTCAGGCCTCTGCTTATGTTTGGAAATGAATATCATGGTTACAGGAGTGATAAATAGTTGTTTCAGGTTTTCTGACCATGTTTTGGGAAGCCACGCTGGCATTTGTGTGCAGTTCAAGTGCTTCTATCTTACATCTACAGAGCTAATGTGTAGTGTTAGATGTGATAATTAATGGACAAACATTGGTTTTGTTAAACCAATGTAATAAAATGCGTACTTTATAAAAACTCCCCCTTTCCTAATAAAAACGAGTTTTCAGCGTCACTGCTGTCAGATCTGATATGGGGAGATAAAGCCTCAGCACAATGACTTCAATATCTGTATGTGTTAGATCCTGAGCTCCTGCTAGTCTAACCTTGTTATCAGAGCAAAGCTGTGAAAGGAGCAGAAATTTCGGGGCAGGTCTGTTACCTGCGGTGTCAGTCAAGCTGCCTGTTACCTCTTTGTGTTCTTTAAATGAATGGCAGCAGATGCACTCCCAGTGACAGATCGCAGAGATATTCATGCAAATTCCTGCCTCAAGCTTTTTGGTGTATAAATATGTTTCACTTCCACAACTAATAAGCCACCAGTGTGACTACATTACAGGACCACTGTTTCCAAGAAAATAAGGAGGGTTTCTTCAGGGGGGGGTTTTTGGCATTTATTTTATAGCAAAAAGAATGAACGGACACGTCTTTGTTGAAATCCAACTCATTCCATCCAGGTGAGATTGAACTAAAGTGGTCTTTGCTGGATATCTTTTTCAAAATGTAACAACATGACAATGAGCCTGGAGTGATAACCTGTCAGTCGGCTCAGCAAGAAGTGAACTCCAACAATGTTCCTACCACAGTATGTAACTCCTGTCTTATCTGAAGACAAAATCTAAATCTCTGACCAAAGTGTGAAACAAAGAAGGAACAAAGGGGATTTTTATTTTATCAATACAGCACAAATCTATTTGTATTGAATGAAATATTTATTTCAGTAGGCTTCTTAATCAAAGTCTTGTAGACATTTTCTCATGAGGGATCAAAGTTTATTCTCATTGTATTTTCCAGCAGCATTCGATAATACTTAAACAGTGTTTAAGCAGGGTTTATTGTTAAATAACTGGATCAAGGGGCTATTTTATCTCTCACAATCATTATTCTGCTCTGTCACATTAACACTGTTCAACAACCATTTTGAGATCTTTTATAACAGATTGGATTCCTTCCAGAGAGCCTCAGTTAACTGACAAGTCTCCTGATGCATTCCTGTGCTGCTCGGGTGGTCAAAGTTTCCTAGTTGGGAAGTTGTTCTTCCGACTTCAGTGTGTTCATGTGATTTCAATTCAGAAAGTCAGAACGATGTATCAACAGCAAAAAAAAAAAGCATGGTGAAATGTAACTGTTAGAAGTTATATTTCAGAAAAAAGTTGATGTGCAATACGTGAATTTTTTAAAAGTATGTTCATTTTTTTAGAAAACATATTTTTTCCCCCATGTGATGACGACTCTGACGTCAAGTCGGGCACCTAATTATTTTCTGAGTTTCTGACTTGAGCAGGAGTTCATCTCGGGAACTCGTTTTTCCGATGTGTCCAACACTACATGAATGCACCATCACAGTCAAGCACAAGGATCATTCCATTTCAGCGATATGGGGGAGTTTGATGTCTAATTGACTCATAGCCTATCTTGGTGTAAATATCACCTTTTTAATACATTTAATGCAGTTCTGAAACTACTCCTTCTTTAAATCAAACTCCTTAGTGTGTGCATGGAGAAATCACCCCAAAGTATTGATAGAAGCAGCATTTGAAGAATTTCAGCCCAGTGGCGTTCAAATGGCAGTCAGAACAGGAGCAGGCACCTCCTTTCTAAAAAGGCTCTCATTGGCTGTTATGAGGTGTCATCAAAGGGTCAGCTGAATAGCAGAGGTTATTCGAAGCAGTCTTTGGATCGTTATGGATATATTGTGTTTGGATAACATCTTTCACTGGATTGGAATTGTGGGGACCAGTTTCTGTGGATTATTGTGATCAGGAAAGTTTAGTGAATGTTTAGTGGTCTGACCTGGACACACTGGGCCGTCTGTATGGGTGTCTACTGTATTGGACGTATATGGTTATAAGGTCACATTAATGAAGACTTAATGAGTAAGAAAAATGATTGGATCAAGTCCTATCATACAATACATTGTTATTCCAAGTCTAGAAGACAACTTGATAAATAATGTGGTTCACCTCAAATAGGAAAATGTCTCAATGAGCACAAAAAAACAACAAAACTTTCAACCATATGAAAAATCTGACCAATCAGGTTTGACTATGTAAATCCTTAGTAGGGGACAGGCTTAATGGTTACAATAAACAGTTTTACAAATATATTCTGAAATATCGCTCAGGTGTTTATAGATCTGTGTATGTTTTGGATGTCAAACTAATGTTTGGGAGAACTGTGCATCTGTACTGGATGTATACAGGGCTCATGATGACAGCTTTAGCAACCCTGTAACGTCAATCTAACAAATAATGCTAATCATGCAACACATCACTTATATGTCATTGTGTTGGAGAACCAACAACATTTATTCCTACACAAGTCACTGCCACATCAGTTTTGTTTAACAGACACCTAAATATACAATAGAGCATACTGTACATTGACATATATTTCACCCTTTTAGGGACATTTAGCACCAATATATTTTAGTGTGTTTCCATTGGATGTTTCTTCACTCTAACATGGAAACATTTAGGATAGTTAGTTGATGTTGCGTACAGAGCCGAGAGTACTGCTGGTGTGGTAGTTCAGGGTGAAGGGGTTAAAAACAAATCAGAGAAACAAAGATTACACAAGAGGTCGTAGGTCAAGTTTGTGAAGAAGCCAAATGTCAGATTTCTTTTTCCGCTTTTCTCCAGTAAACCACTGCTGATGTCCTGAATGAAACCACAACTCAAAGGTGATAGATCATCTTAGACCTAACTCTGGTCTTTTCTTAAAGCTATCCAAGTGGTTTGTGTGCCTGAATCAAAAAAGGAAACAGTGATTTTGTTTTGGTCACTATTACTACTTTTTTATATTTTTAGAAGGAATACTTGGTGGAGTTTAAATATGAGTGATGAAAGTGGCACACATTTCAAGTTTTAGATTTTGACTCTGGAAAACAGCAGTCATGAGTTTGCCTGATTTACAGTTTAAAAAAAATCTTAAAATACCCTGTTGATTGAAACCCCTCAGTTAAGCCTCTGCCTGACACTATACACATTTTACTTAACCTCTGAATCTGCTTGATTTCAATCGATTGAACTGTAAAACACTTTGTTCAGAAAACTTTCTATCAGGTCAAGAATTAACTTTTTTTTTGCAATTTGAGCTCCAAAAAATCTTCTGTTGGATCGGACCAAATGAGCCAGCCTTCGCTCCAACAACAATGAGCCTTGGCTGCCCATGACCCTGTCGCCAGTTCACCAGTTGTCCTTCCTTGGACCAGTTTTGGTAAGTACTGTCCATTGCAGACAGGGAGCATCCCACAGGAGCTGCAAAGCTGGAGATGCTCTGGCTCAGTCATCCAGCCATCACATTGTGGCCCCTTATCAAAGACATCCTTACATCCATTCCCCCCAGAAAACAAAATCTGAATGACAGGGGTCACAAGTTGGGAACTAGCAAAACACTTGTTACAAAAGGGTACCAAATAAGTGGGCCTGAGAAGGTGGTAGGAGAACACAACCCTCCAATACCACCCACTGATTCTATCAAAATGATAAACAAACATAAATTGGAGCCAAAACAAAAAGAGAAGAGAAGAGGGACTCAATGAACAGAGGGGTAATGGAAGGACTTACAAATGACCCCATGTAACTATAAAACTCTTACTTTTAATAAATGTTTGTTCGTTTAATTTTTATATTTCAATAATATTAAATTTTTCAACATTGATTGGCCATAGCGGTCATATTGACTGTGTGTATTATCAGCTCTTAAGAGGGATAAAGACCTAATCCACAAAAAATCTAAACTTTATGAAGTGACTGATAAAGTGAACTGGGCGGCTTTTGTGTTCCCACCACGAGTACACTGAGGACACTTGTGAATAATGTCCCAACATAGTGTGTGAGAGCTGCACCTGGGAGGTGAAGATTTGTGTACCTGTGTGTTGACTGTGGGTACACTTATTGATCCACAAGCGCCAGCCAATGAGGTTCATGATGTCTGACCCAAAAACAACCCCATGCCTTGTTCAGTTAAACC